GGGCGAGTCCCCGCCGCCCGCTCACCTGCCGGGGCCGCGGGCGCTGAGGCTGCGGTGGCGGGCCGGCCGCCTCTGCCCGCGTCCACGCAAGCCACCTGCGCCACCAGCTGCCGCAGAGGCGTCTCAACGGCTCCGAATCGCAACCGCCGCCGCCGCTGCCGCCGCCGTCGCTGCGCTGCTCCCGCGCGGCTCCCGCTCGGCGCCCGCTAGCACTGGGGCGAGACCAACTGCTCGCCGAGGGAGGGGGGACAACGCAGCACCGGCCTGAGGTGTGTGACGCGGGAGCGGAACTTCAGAAGACGACGGATCCGCAAGTTGGCTTTTGCCCATCAGTGACAGCCAGATGCAGAGAGACGCTGGAGCGAAGGAACAAAGAAGTGGGCGAAAATAGCTCGGCCCCAGGCGGCTCCCCCCTGCGGTTTGCAGAGTGGTCGGGCCCGGCCCGCCCCTGCTGGCTCCTCTGCGTGTGTGTATTTGTATGTGTACTGTATGTAAAAGGCGGGGAGGGAGGAAACGATTGTTGTGGACGGGGTTTGGGGGCGGGTATCCGGGCCTCCAGCCCTCGGCTGTGTGTTAGGGAGAACCTGGCAGCCTAAGTTGCATGTTCTTGCATCGTTTCCCAGGGTGGAGAGGCTTTAATGCTGCACTTGCGCGGTTTGCACCATCCATCCAAAAAAGAACTGTACAAAAACCCATAGATGAAATCGGAGCAGGAGGGTGTGCAGCTTGTAGGCCTCTTACAGCTCGCTGAATGGGCCTTACAGTAGCCTTTTCCTTGAAATTGTAATATGAGAAAGCCCTATTTCTTTTATTTTAAATTTAAAGCACCAAAGAAAACTGCAATCCTAACGAATGCAAAATGTGAAAGGAATAAAACAATGACAGGAAAGCATAAGTCTTTTAGATAGGATGTGGGTTTGGGCCCGTACTAAATTTTAGCTGCATCTAAATTTTATTTCTCTAGTAGAGTGGTAGCTGGGAGGTGGAAAGTGTAGAAGTGTTTGTAAGGCTCACATAATTTATCTCTTAAAATAGTCTTCAAGGGATTTCTAAGATTTATTTTTTTGATCCTTCAGCTAATGCAGTTTTTAATATGTTGGTAGTAATATGCCCGGCTTTCTAATGTGCATTATTGGTAGCTTAATATTTTTACTGTACCAGAACTGTGTCACTAGATTGTCTAATTTTATTTAACCATTAACATTCACCCAAGTTCCTAATAAATGTAGTGAATAAAAAGGCATTTTGAAAATGAGTAAATATTAACCTTAAGCTTTGTTTCATGCTCCATTGAATCCCACTTCCCCAAAAAGTACCTACTGTGTGTCAAGCTTTTTTAGGTGCTGGGGTTACAACCGTGAACAAGCACAAATTCTTCCTGAAACAGAATGAAAACATGGAAAAGCCTAAATGTTAAACTATGTAAATAATGGCATGTAGCTCATACTTGTTTAAATGAACTCACAACTGGGAATAAATCAGGAAAAGCTGTAGTAAGTAGGTAAAAATTGAGAAGAATTCTCTAAAAGCGATACACATGTCTTCAAAAGGAATGTAGACATTCCCAGTGCAAATTGTCCTGCAGGGAATTTCAGGAGACTAAGTCATACCACAGCAACAGGCAGAGGGTTCCAAGTGTTGCAAAAAGAGAAATTGACTGGCAAGGGAAAGGGAAGGGTTAGAAAAAGGTCTTGAAGCCTTTCATCCTGATCAGTTTGATATGATGTATGCTAGGCAGCTAGGTTGCTGAGCTAGAAAGGAAAGATGAATCTTTAAAAAGTTACTCTTGCTTGCTACAAAGTAGATGACAGTAGAAAAAGCCTGGAGGTTACTGTTCTACTCCCTAAGTGACCCATTTCTAGAAGAGACTGGTGACTGAAAAAGGGAAGAGCTAAGAACACGAAAGAATGATTTTCAGGCATTAGCCATAAATCATGCACAGGAAAAGTGGAGAAAGATGTAGGGAAGAAAATTCCAAGACTGTTGAGTAGGAGAGACCAAGGCATCATCCAGCAACCATTTCTTGTGCACCTCCTTTGTTCTAAGCCTTTTAAGGCTTTGCAGTTCCAAGTCTTGGTCCTGGGCCCAGCAGCATGGGCTTCCCCTCACCAGACTTGCTAAATCAGAATCTGCATTTTAACGAGATCCCCAGGTGATTCTTCTGCATATTCAAGTTGAGAGACTTCTGCTGTGGAGGATACTACAGGCTACAGGAACACAAAATCAAGTAGGAAAACAGAACTGGAATAGATGAATTATAATTAATACTAAAAGATAACTTTTTATTAGTGCAAAATGATAGAACAAGTAAAAAGGGAGTGGTTACTGTGGGCGGGGGGGGGGCGCTTCTCAGAAAAGAAATGAAAATAGAAGGCAAATGGAAAGGCATTGGTGCTTTGGTGTTAATGTTAAAAATATAAAGTACAAACCTTGCTCTTGCTATCTTTAAGTTTGGTAATTTCAATTTGTGATAGCCTATAGGCAACAAGCTATACCCTTGAAACAAGAAGTCAGGGCAAAACGACCTGGTAGTTTAAGCCTCTACGGAACAAAAGCCCAGGATCCCTGGGAGCAAGCAGTTCAGAATGGGAGGGAAAGGGGGAGTGGGGAGGGAGGAGGGAGGCTTGTGCTCATCAGAACCACTTGGAGAGCTTTTCTGAACGGAGAGCCTGTGCCCCCCTCTCCAACCGTGCTAGATGCATCCCGCACCCATACTCGGCCTTCTTACAGGGCATGCCAGGAAAAGTACCGCAAGATAGACATTAAAGGGCAATGATGAAGTTGTAAAGAGAAAGAATACAATCTCCAAAACAAATGAGGCAAGAGGGTGGGGGGTGGGAGAGCTAAATGAATCAAGGAAGGAACATGATTCACATTCTCTCATTTTATCTGGGTGTTCTTACCCCCATTTTACAGATGAGAAAACAGGCTCAGCAACTTGCCCCCAAATCACACATCTAGTCAAGAGGCCAAGGCAACATTCCAGCCAGTCAATTCTCAGGTCCACGCCTTTGTGTGGTCCCACGCCACCTCTAGGTGGAGCAGGGGGCCAGTAGTGCTGGATACCAAGGAGCTTATAATTAGAAAAAGATGCTGGAAGGAAAAGCACCCAGCCCTTACTCTTGCAACTTCTGTCTGGACTTGGAAGTATTTCCAGCTTAAATTTCCTAATGACCTTCCTCTACCCCACCCCATTCCCCAGCTTGGCCCTATCATCGGCTCATGCTATTAACTCCCTCCAGTTTTAAGAGATTCAGCCCAAAAATCACCTCTGGAAAGGCTTCTAGCCTCATCTTAATGTGACATAATTTCTTATTTACAATCCTTATGACTAATATTTAAACTACTTAGAAATAGGCACGACCTTAGTCATCAGTGCCTGGCATTTAGCAGGCACTAAATAAAATTTTTCTCAAGAAATATTTGTTGAATGCATGAGAGGAGGGGCCAAGTGAGAAACTCCCTTGACCCCTGGTCTGAGAAAACAGATAAAAAGACACTTTAAAAGACATTTGTTTTTGTTTTGACTTTGTGAATTGTTCATGTCACAAAGCTTAGCCCTTTAAAAGCACTGATATGTTTTCATTGACTAAAATACATCCATTTACCAGTTTTGTTAAGGGAAATCTTTCTAAATAAGAGTTGATACATATCCCCCAAATTTAGCAAGAATAATCCCTTCCTTCACATCTTTTGCATAGAATACATATAATTCCCTACCTTAATATATAGTATTTGTAACATACCTTAAACTTATCAGTATAAACTCCAATTATTAAACTTTCCTTATGTGTAATACTTCAAGCCTCACAAATAGGGAAGTTAGCAAGAACATGGGGAAGACAAAGGGCATTAATCAAAGAGCTAGTTCAGTTAGAGATGTCATAAATCTGGTCTAGACCCAGCTTCACGCTTGTTTCCCTGAGCATTTGGATTTTCGGCCATATGGAAGGGAAAAACCAAGATGTGCTGGTTTGTGAGACAATGACTGAGCTACTGTACCAATGGCTATGGGGGAGTCATTCTCAGACACATGGAATAAGAGAAGTCTTAATGAGTGTGAGTGCTCATTAGAACAGCTGTCAAGAAGCAAGGCTAGGACAGGGATGGCCAGTTGACCTGTGAGTGCTGTTGGTACCTATTCTGAAGGCTGCCTAGCTGTGTGTTGTTCTAAGGGAATTTTAAAAATCACTGCACGACCTCCTCTGTAATCACTTCTTACCTCAGAAACTTGCTTTGCTTTTTTCTTAGATCTCCACATCCAGTCTCATCCTACATGCTCCTCTTTATTCTTCTGCCCATTTTTTTGTGAATTTTCCCTTTTTCATCTTCTTTCTTGTACATTCCTCATCATTGCGTGCTCTCGCTTTCTGACTTAGGTCGCCCAGAAGTACAGCTTTGAAAATGGAATGATCCCTTGTTTTGGTCAATCGGCCTACTAACGTGATAATATCTTTTATTATCTTTGTGCCTTTGGCTTTTCTAAGGGTGGAAAAATGAGTACTGATTGCCAAGGGTTAGGAATGGGATGGCTACAAAGTGGGGGATTTTCATGGCAATGGAATAGTTCTGCATCTTGATTGGGGTAGTGGTTGCCGGAATCTACACATGCTACAAAAATGGCATAAAACTGTACATGCACCTTGCACCAATGTCAGTTTCCCCTCTTTGTCATAGTACTTACAGTTGCTTAAGATGTCACCATTAGAGGAAATGGGTGAAGGGTTGTAGAGGACCTTTCGGGATTCTTTTTGCCATTTCCTGTGAATCTATAAATTTTTCAAAGTAAAAGTGAAAACACCAGGTACATATATTGACAGTTCAAGAGAGGTCTTTTGTTCAGGGCAAGGAAAATCTGCTTGTGTTTATAGGCATTAGGAAGTTAGGAACAGGGCTAGGAGAAGGAGAGAAATACAATATTGCAGTGTCTTCTCACCTATGTGTGTGGTTGGTTGTATGTGTGACACATGGCTCCTAAAATGCTTTCTTCATATGCATCATCATGAACACTTCCCTAGGGCTACCACCCTTTATAGCCATCCAAACCCCTTCCC